CAGCAGGCTGAGAAGCTAGAGAGATATCTCTGCCTGGTTTCTGTTTGAAGAAGAGGAGTAGAAGAAGAGTTTGGATTTTATATGCCGCTTTATTACTACCCGAAGGAGTCTCAAAGCGGCTAACATTCTCCTTTCCCTTCCTCCCGCACAACAAACACTCTGTGAGGTGAGTGGGGCTGAGAGACTTCAGAGAAGTGTGATTTGCCCAAGGTCACCCAGCAGCTGCATGTGGAGGAGCGGGGAAGCGAACCCGGTTCACCAGATTACAAGACTACTGCTCTTAACCACTACACCACACTGGCTCTCTTGAATACAGTCGTACCTTGGTTCTCGAACGGAATCTGTTCCGGAAGTCCATTTGACTTCCAAAAATGTTTGAAAACCAAGGCGCGGCTTCCGATTGGCTGCAGGAGCTTCCTGCACTCAGTCGGAAGCCGCATCAGCCGCGTCGGGCATTTGGCTTCCAAAAAACGTTTGCAAACTGGAACACTCACTGCTGGGTTTGCCGCATTCGGGAGCCAAAACATTTGAGTCACAAGGTGTTCGAGAACCAAATTACGACTGCACAAGGCTGCATCTATGGGGGAAACGACACCCTTTTTGGGGTGTGAATGCTGTGAACCCCTCCATCACAGGCTCAGGCTGTATATAGGTGGAAATAAACCAAATAATAATAATAATAAACCTTTGGTTAAAGAATAATAATAATTTTTTATTTATACCCCGCCCTCCCCAGCCAAGGCCGGGCTCAGAGCGGCTTACAAGCAATAATAAAAACAAGATGAATGATTACAACTTAAAAACAAAAATAAAATGCAACATTAAAATAATGGAACATTAAAGGGCAATATATGAATAGAATAAATAAGCAAATGTTTTGTGGGGCAAGGGGTTGGCACATTTTCATTGTGCCCCTCCAAATGGCAATAATGCAAGAACTTTGGGGCAAGCATCACATAACAAGTAGCAAAGCGGAATGATTTGTGGACAGTCCATTATAAATCCACCACTAATGGGCTATTCTTGTGTCAGCGACATGTTGCAGAATGCACTCACAACCCTCCCCCCCCAAAAAAAATCCCCTTCAGTAGGGAGGGGCCCACAGTGGAGGGCATAGGGTGATAATCAATGCTAAGCATTCCCAGGCCCACTGGAATGAATGGGTAACTTAAATACACTCATTTCAGAGGCTCAGCTCTGGGGTACAATTTAGTTGGATGCAACCCGCAGGTCCTTATGCTTTGCAGCGCTCTCTATAAAAGTTCCAAGGAGGAAAGATTTCTTGGGGAATCCCCTTCTGATAAAAGAGCGGATCTTATTTTTGATTTTGGGCCAGTTCAAACAATCACACGCTCTTTGCGATTACAGGGCCTGCGGCAGTTGCACACTGCATTACACCAGGGTGAAAACACACCTTAAGCAAATGTTTCTCGATTTGTCCCGTGTGGTACGTATTTTATATCGGCAACTGAATTTTCTAGGGTTTTGCGCTGACATTTGGTTTTAAACAAATGACTGGATTCCGACAAGGAAATCACACAGACTGGGTGGAGAATGGCAGCTGAAGTCGTCGTCATCCGTCTATCTCGAGAGCCAATGGAGTGCACCTCTGGGGGTGAAGTCAAACCACTGGAGAATCACAGCGCCTGCTGTGGCTGAATAGATCGGGAACTCGTAACTGCTGCCTCCAGCATCGTTTTTGGTGCATTTAATACCATTCTACCACAACGTCTGATGTCTAAACTGGAAGATCTGGGGCTTCCGTTATCACTTTGTGGGTGGATATTGGACTTTTTGTCAGACCGCCCCCAGAGGGTTCGGTTGGGCCCTTATACCTCTAATATGCTTAAGACTAACACAGGAACACCACAGGGATGCGTACTCAGTCCGCTCCTTTATATTCTCTACATGTACGATTGTGTCGCTGCTCACCCTAGTAATAGGGTTGTCAAATTTGCAGATGACACAACCGTGATTGGGCTCATCCCTGAAAGGGAGGGTGAAACGGATTATAGAGATGAGGTGGAGCGGCTGACAGAGTGGTGCAGAGCTAACAACTTGCTCATAAATACAAGGAAGACAAAGGAGCTTGTGGTGGACTTCAGGAGACAGAAGAGCAATGTCCAGCCACTTTTGATTGATGGGGTCTGTGTGGAGAGGGTAACAACGTTCAGATTTTTGGGCATTGAATTACAAGAGGATCTGTCCTGGAGTGTCAACACAAGGGGGCTTGTGAAGAAGGCGCAGCAGAGACTGTACTTTTTGAGAATTCTAAGGAAAAACCATCTTCCGCAGAAACTGCTGCTTGCCTTCTATCACTGTGCCATTGAGAGCGTGCTCACTTATGGCTTATGTGTGTGGTACGGAAGCTGTACTACCCAGGACAGGATGGGGTTGTGCAGAGTTGTTAAGGCAGCAGAGAGCATTGTTGGCTGCCCACTCTCCACCTTAGAGCAGATTTATGCCACAAGGTGCCATAGGAAGGCACTGGACATAGTAAAAGATCCATCGCATCCTGGTCACTGTCTCTTCGAGCTCCTGCCGTCGGGACGGAGATACAGGACGATGAGGACAAGAACGAGCTGTCTTAAGAACAGCTTCTTCTCCAGAGCGATCTCGGCCCTGAATGGGAAGCCTGGACTTTGAAAGTCATCTAATCTTCTTTGCTGTACTATACTGTATTGTTTTAATTAGGGTTTTTATGGAGCAGTCAAGTAATTTCGTTGTCCCCGAGAGGGGGTAATGACAATAAAGATATTATTATTATTATTATTATTATTATTATTATTATTATTATTATTAGCAGCAGCACCAAGGATACGTCCGGGGGGGGGGCAAGCCTGGGCAGTGCGGCTGGAGGTCTTGCGTTGCCCAGATGACAAGACCACCCTCTCGGCTTCACTGACAGGGTCCAAAGGGAAGCAGAGCAAGACGTTTGGCACCAGCTTGGCTGAAGGAGGTGTACAAGGCACCATCCAACAGTCTTAGGGACTCCACACCAAATTTGTGCAGGGTTTACTCTTTAGACTTTTCTTCTCCCGAAGATGTCCCACGAGGCAGCTGGTACTGTGGCTGAAGTACATTCAGTTTCATCAGCCAACCCCCCCCCCCCAGTTCTAGAGCTATGGATAAGTATTTCTCCCTCTCTGCTTTTTGCAAATCATTCCGTTCTATAAATAGGTACCATGGCCTTAGCCATCTTACAGCACAGGGGTGGGGAACCTCAGGGGTGGGGGCCAAATGCAGCCCTCCAGGCCTCACTACCGTCTCCACCCCCATCGTTCTGCCCGGACACTGAGATCCAGCGCCAAGGGCCTTCTGGCGGTTCCCTCATTGCGAGAAGCAAAGCTACAGGGAACCAGGCAGAGGGCCTTCTCGGTGGTGGCACCCGCCCTGTGGAACACCCTCCCATCAGATGTCAAAGAGATAAACAACTACCTAACATTTAGAAGACATCTGGAAGCAGCCCTGTTCAGGGAAGTTTTTAATGTGTGACATTTTAATGTTTTTTAATCTTTGTTGGAAGCCGCCCAGAGTGGCTGGGGAAACCCAGCCAGATGGGCGGGGTACAAATAATTTTTTTATTTTATTATTATTATTATTATTATTATTATTATTATTATTATCATCATCATCATCCCTGGCCCCCTGAGCTCTCCCTAGGCCACACCCCTTCTCCCACAGGCCACACCCATTACTCCCAAGCCACACCCCTCAACACTTTCACACCCTCCCTGAGTGTTTTTGCCTGCTCTCAATGTGTCCTTGTCCTCTGATGTTACCTGTTACTTAGAATCATAGAATAGAATCATAGAGTTGGAATAGACCACAAGGGCCATCGAGTCCAACCCCCTGCCAAGCAGGAAACACCATCAGAGCATTCCTGACATATGGTTGTCAAGCCTCTGCTTAAAGACCTCCAAAGGAGGAGACTCCACCACACTCCTTGGCAGCAAATTCCACTGTCGAACAGCTCTTACTGTCAGGAAGTTCTTCCTAATGTTTAGGTGGAATCTTCTTTCTTGTAGTTTGGATCCATTGCTCCGTGTCCGCTTCTCTGGAGCAGCAGAAAACAACCTTTCTCCCTCCTCTATATGACATCCTTTTATATATTTGAACATGGCTATCATATCACCCCTTAACCTCCTCTTCTCCAGGCTAAACATGCCCAGCTCCCTTAGCCGTTCCTCATAAGGCATCGTTTCCAGGCCTTTGACCATTTTGGTTGCCCTCCTCTGGACACGTTCCAGTTTGTCAGTGTCCTTCTTGAACTGTGGTGCCCAGAACTGGACACAGTACTCCAGGTGAGGTCTGACCAGAGCAGAGTACAGTGGCACTATTACTTCCCTTGATCTAGATGCTATACTCCTATTGATGCAGCCCAGAATTGCATTGGCTTTTTTAGCTGCCGCGTCACACTGTTGGCTCATGTCAAGTTTGTGGTCAACCAAGACTCCTAGATCCTTTTCACATGTACTGCTCTCAAGCCAGGTGTCACCCATCTTGTATTTGTGCCTCTCATTTTTTTTGCCCAAGTGAAATACTTTACATTTCTCCCTGTTAACTTGTCTGGTTGTAGGATACAGAGGGATGTGCAGGTAAAAGTAACTAACAAAGGTAAAATTGGCATTATTTGTTCTGCCCACCTTCGCCCTGTGTCTGGCCTGTGGCCCCCCAGAAGGAAAAGCAACCCTCAGTCTTCCCCAGCCCTCTTGTAACTCCATAATTATTTTTTAAAAATCCAAACAGGGAGCCAGGAGTGCCCCCTCGCCACCATACAGGGGTCGCTTTTAGCATGTGTCCGTCAGTCCACGCAGATCCCCCCGTGATCTTACAAGACACAGGCCCTTCCCCAGAGCTCACGCCACCTGCAATGACGACAGGCATTTTGCTAGTGATTCCGTATCCCTGGTGCCACCTTCTCTCTTTGAACACTTATGCGCTTAGCCCTAAAATGAAAACCAAGCCAAGCTGCAAACCCAGGCATGTTCTCGGCTCACCTGAAAGATGTCGTTGGCACATTTCCTGCACAGGTTGTGCTGGCAGGGCAGGATGACCACCGGCTTGGTAAACATCTCCAAACAGATGGGGCAAATGAGCTGCCTTTCTAGGCTATCCATGGTGGGGCAATCTCTAGGGCAGGAGTTGTAGTCCATGTGGGTCGACATGACAAGGGAAGAGGCAAGTGCCGATCTGGACGGGGCTCCCTGTGTGCCCTCGCGCCAGTCCTGGAGTGCAGCGGTGAGAAAGGGCAAGGGGAACGGCTCATGACTGCCAACTCCTCCATGTGGGAGGCAGCTGTTTGCTCTGATTTCCCCGAGGTCCGCAAAAGATCAGCTCAATTGCTCCAGGAATGTGATGGTGGAGACTCTCTTGCTCCTGCCATCAGGGAACAGTTTGCTTTTTTATTCTGCCTCAGCATCCCTGCTCAGACACAGGCGTCGTGCATCGAAGATACTGTTACGTGCCACCCCAATCTCCAAGCAGCGAGAGATTCCAGGGGTTTCAGCACTTGGTTTCCTTAGGAATGAAGGCCAGCAGAGACGGTGGCATCTTTAGGATATGGAAAGCGTAACGCTGGTGGTCAACAAAAGAGGTTTAAAGACTGTCTCAAGGCAAATCTAAAAAAATGTAGTATAAACACTGACAACTGGGAAACACTGGAGTTGGAGAGCAGCCTTTACCAAAGGTGTCACGGGCTTTGGAGACGCTCGAACTCAGGACCCAAGGGAGAAACGTGCTAGGAGGAAGGCACGCTTGGCAAATCCACACCGTGATCAGCTCCCGCCCGGAAACCAATGTCCCCACTGTGGAAGGACGTGTGGATCCAGAATTGGCCTCCACAGTCACTTACGGACTCATTGTTAAAACCATGTTTATGGAAAACAATCTTACTCGGCTATGAGTAATCGCCAAAGAAGAAGAATATATGGTTTCATTTAAACTTTTAATTGTAATCTGCTTGGGGGCAGGGACCTGCCTTGTGAGCATTTTCCTGTGTAAAGCACCATCTTCACAATGCTATAAAGAACCAGAAATGAGAACATAGTGCTAAAACCCCCACCCCTTCCTTTGAAAATAGAGAAGGAAGAACCTTATGGAGCAACTTTTGGTTGGGATGGGGGCACTACACGAGGCTCCCTTTGAAGACTGCATGGAAACAGCAGCTAATGCAGAATGCAGCCAGTGGCTATTACAGTGGTGCCCCGCAAGATGAATGCCTCGCAAGACGGAAAACCCGCTAGACGAAAGGGTTTTCCGTTTTGGAGGTGCTTCGCAAAACGAATTTCCTATGGGCTTGCTTCGCAAAATGAAAATGTCTTGCGAGTTCCTGCAGGGTTTTTCCCCCCCCCCTTTTCCCAAGCCGCTAAGCCGCTTAACAGCTGATCCGTTAAGCCGCTAAACAGCTGATCGCTAAGCCGCTTAACAGCTGATCGCTAAGCCTCTTATCAGCTGATCCGCTAAGCCGCTTAACAGCTGATCCGCTAAGCCGCTTAACAGCTGATCCGCTAAGCCGCTAAACAGCTGATCGCTAAGCCGCTTAACAGCTGATCGCTAAGCCTCTTATCAGCTGATCCGCTAAGCCGCTTAACAGCTGATCGCTAAGCCTCTTATCAGCTGATCCGCTAAGCCGCTTAACAGCTGATCCGCTAAGCCGCTTAACAGCTGATCCGCTAATAGCGCTAATCCGCTAATGGGCTTGCTTCGCAAGACGAAAAAACGGCAAGACGAAGAGACTCGCGGAACGGATTCTTTTCGTCTTGCGAGGCACCACTGTATCTCTGGTGGGATAGTGTCTAGCTAGTGTGTCAGACTAGGATCTGGGAGACGACCAGGGTTCGAATCCCCACTCAGTCATGAAGCTCACTGGGTGACCTTGGGCCAGTCTCTGCCTCTTGGCTAACCAGTGTCACAGGGTTGTTGTAACCATATGAGCCCCTTAGAGGAAAAGGAAATGGGCTGGTCTTTTTGAAAACTTCCACTTCTCCTCAGAATTCCTCAGAAATTTCTGTGGCCGCTCTACACAAGATAGCTTTGAGTCCAAAGGCTGCTGCAGATGGGTGGGGTATAAATAATAAATTATGATTATCATCACAGTTGCTCAGGATAAGAACCCAAGGAAGGTGGCTTCCATGCTTGATTTCTTCCTCCTTTAAGTCACAGCATTTTGGTTAATGGCAGAAAAGGCCCTAATCCAGCCTTAAAAAAAAACATTTAAAAAAAACACAGATCAAGAGAACACTTCGGGTGGTTTTTTTTGCCTTGAAAACATTTATTTTACAACCTTGGTTTCTGATAATTTAGCAGTCTTTATTTTTTCAATTTTATGTTCCTATTCAGACATACAATACATAAATTACATGCTAAAACATAAAATAAATTCCTTCTGCTTGAACTGTAGGTATGTACAGGAGCTCAGTATTTGCGAGTGTTAACAATCCACAAAGTTCGGACAGCCACAGCTACTTACATACAATTTAAAGGATGACCCTTTAAGTAACATAACAAAATATATATATATATTTTCTATGTATATGTATATATATATAATTGCTTTTCAAATGCATTTATACTTTTTGATTGTTCTTTACAACTAACATTTTTCTTAATTTAAAAAAAAAATCTGGATTTCCCCTTTTCTCCAGCAAGTACAAGTGCAATATGAGACTCTTGATACATCTTCATCAGGTCACACAGACTTCAGGAGAGGCCACAACAAATCTTACTAAAAATCAACAAGTGTATGATGGAATCTACCAAACTTTGCTTTCTGGAGCCATGGTTCATTTCAATGGGGCTTGCAAACCTTCACTGAAAGGAACGGCATGAAAGGAGCAATGGCTGACTGGGCCACAGTTCATCCTAACTTTTTTTACTCATATGCAAGAAGAGGCTGCCTTGAATAGAGTGATAGCTACACAAAACAAAAAACACATACCATGTTCCCCAATAGAGGAGAAGGGGCAGCAGGAGGAGGAGATGATGATGATACAAAAATTAATAGAACACCAGCAGTAGCTGAATGACGCAACACACACACGCACACACGCACACACACACACACACAAGACTAATATGGAAAACACAATTTCTACAGCTTCTGCAGCTTGGCAAATCTCCAGGTTCATTACATACACACACAGCCCACCCATCGACACACAACACACAGGCGTACCAAAAAGGAAAATAAGATCGCTGAGTCAAAACATCGAAACGAAAATAAGCTGCAGGTCTTGCGCTGTGCAATTAAACAATTTGGGTTGGCTTGCCTCCAGCAAAATACCAAAAATCAAATGTCAAGTGTTATTGTTGGCCTACAGATTAGAGTCTAATAATTAGGCAACGGGACTGCGGGGCGAGGTAAAGAAACAATGGAAAGACAGGAAGGGTCCCTGTCTTCTTCTTCCAACAGGGAAGGGGGGAGGCTGTCTCTGTCGTGCCTAGTTTTGGGGTCTTTAGGTCAGGGGTCAGCAAGGTTTACCTCGCCTGGGCCAGTTCACTCCTGCGGAGATCACTCCATGGGCTGGATCGCATCTGCGCAGATGCGATTTCCAGCATTTGTGTCTGCGCAGATGTGATTTCTGGCACCGTGGGAGCGAGTCCCCACTCCGCGCTGTGCCGGTTTAGCACAGTGTGCGGAGACTTGCCGAGTGGGCGGCTTGGTTCAGGGGCGGCTCGTGGGCCATTTAAACGACCCCGTGGGCTGCTTGTGGCCCGGGGGCTGCAGGTGGCCAACCCCTGCTTTAGACAATCACATCGACTCATCTCCTTAACAGTCAAAGCTGAATTACCAACAGAAAAGAACCACAGCAATGCAAGCACTCATCCTACAATTTCCCATGCTATGCCCCACTTTGTTAAATACGCTGCCGCTAGAAAGAGCTTAGAGCTATGCCCTGCAACTATTTCAGAAGCCACCTTCCCCTCCACTTCAACCCCTGACAACCATCCCAGAAAGACCTCTTTGCCTCTCAGGATATTGCTGCCTTCTCTTTGAATCAAGCCGACATGTTCAGGGTTTTGGTTTTTTTAAGGACATGCATTCGCTGTCCATTCTTGATGCGTTTGTTTGCAGGAGCCCCTATTGCTGCAGGAGGCTCCTAGAATCAGGGCACAGTTCCCACCTCCACCTGTAACGTAGGTAAAAACTGTCGCAAGGGTTGCTGATCGAACAGCAGACCCCCCAGCAACACCACCACATCACTGAGAACATAATGTGAAACTCTGCCATTGAATAAGCTTGGGCGGGGTGCTCTCATGATAGGCTACTATGCAATGAAATGTTATGGAGCATCACATTTTATTGACTACTGTGAGGGCTAAAGGAAAAGGGGGGTGGAGAGAAGCAATGTTTGGAAGTTACTAAGCTGAAAGAAAAAGCGCTTGGTAACATCAGAAATGGCAGAAATCTACCCACAAGTGCTACAAGAACTTAGGTAAGTGTTTTATATATTCATGTATATACAGATAAAAACAACAGATTCATACATACACAGCCTGTGAAATTTATTTAGCATTCGTAGGTACAATGCCCCTTGGCTCCCCAAACAAAGGATGACTGCATTGCTCATTGCACCAAACGACTATTTTTTTTTTATCACTTCAACAGCAGCTGTTGCAGAGGGGATTTGGAGCTCATCTGGAATGTAGAATAAATTAAGACCAGTTTCCCAAGCGACAGTTTTCCTGAACACATCAGGACTTGGCACTTTGGTGTCTGAAAACGTAACATCTGGTTCTTAGTAGCTCTGAGAGCAGTGTACCTTTTCCACAGCAGTTATATCTAATCAGTGCATCCATGATACATTTTCAGACACAGGAAAGCCTCCCAGGGTCACTCCTGTGTTGGGAAAGGGATGGAGAATCAGCGCTCAAAGCAAGTTTCCGGGTGCAAGCCTGTGGCTTGGCGTGATTTAGTAAGAAGCTTGGAAGTCCAACCAGCAAGCTACCAACCTTCCTCAGGTCGCATTAGCCCCAAATTGCATCTCCCAGGTAATCAAAACAGCAGCCCGCAAAGCTCTCCGTGCCACGGGAAGCTGTACAGATCCTCCCTGACTCTGCACAAGTGGTCTAACGATTGGGCAATAATGAGCAGGTTAACGACAGGAGTTCCTAACACAGCCAGCTCCCTGAATGCAATCTGAGAGCAAAATGGGCAGGTTCATGAAGATGCTTGTGAATGCTAGCATCACTTAAAGTAAAAATGAAAACACTAATTTAATTGGCTGGCAACACATTTAAGCATAGAAAAATGGTGCAAAAGTTTCATATGCATTGGCAGTGAACGTTCTTCATGTAAGCCAGCGCCAATGGACTTTTTAAAAGTTCATTGCCCATTTTTCATCTCTCGCTTCATTCTCACTAGCTCCAAATGAAAAAAAGCTGTGTTGGTTTTAGTGAGGGGGCGGGGAAAGATGCTCTGCGACTCACATATTCACGTCCCTGGGAGCTGAATTGAGCCAAAGAGCCAGAGCTAGGATGTGGTTTGGCCACCATGCAAAGCAGAGCAGGTACTTCTGGGCTTGTGGCGGCTTGGTGCATTATAAATGCCTATCACAAAGCCACGTGGAACTCACTTTAATTGGCCGGATCCACTGGTTTTGACACAGTTAAACAGGACTGAAGGACAACCCTCTGCAAGTCTTCTAACAACATAATATGAGTTTGAAAAATTGAGAAAGAGTGAGTCATGGCAGTCTAAAGGAAAACTGCTGTAAGGGGATGAGGTAGTGGACTTGATAAATAAGACTGAAGACAGATGGATGTGGGTTTTGTTCCAGAAATTTTAAAGGTAGCTTGAAAGAAGGCTCACATTCAGAATCACGTATGCTCACCCCCACTCTCACCTTCTATTAAATGACTTTGGTACGGTCTCAAAAACACTCAAGTCCTGTTTGTCCAGAGGCAGCAACAAGAAGACTTACAGCAAGTACACAAACGCAATGGAAAGTGAAACTCCTCTCAAATCATTTTCAGCTTTGTTTGCCTCCAGTTGAACATAGAGCTATTAGAAATTCGAATTAGAAACTTTCCTTTATATCAAACAGCAATCAGACTTTGAAAGAGCCCCGGTTCCCTGTGTCCAGCAGCACAACGTTAGGAACAGAGAGCAGAGACTGTGTTTAAGACTATGTGAAGCACCTTCATCCTGGCATTTTAGCTTAGCAATTAATGGATATTTAGAACAAGCTTCAGTGGGATGCAAATCTAAAGGACACAATGGCGTAAGAAAACACAGGAGGTACTACAGCTTTACCCCCAAATCACTACTGGAATGATTATGAAATCATTGCCCAACAGCAAAATGATTAATAAATTGATCTACTTTAAGTGAACACAAATAGCGATACAGTACTCTGAACTCCAAGACTGAGAAGGAGAAGGGAGGGGGGAAAGTGCCTTGAAACTCTATTGAAACAATTAACTATGCTAGAGATTGAAGCAGCTTGTTTCCAGTGGCAGCAAACTGTTTAGGGGTTATTACATGTTTGTAAAATCCAGCCTGACACCGGATCATGGCCCAAGTTCTTCACTAGATGTTTTGCTCTGGAGCGCCAATGTTGTTAGGTCATGAAATCAGTCCAAGTTGGCAATTTTAGTTATGTTAAAATCAAGACTGAAGCCGGGCAGCAGGAGCGCAGCTGAGATCATACTTTACTTTTAGGCAAAGAACTCTGTCACCTTTTATAAATTCTCCATATTATACCCTCCATGTAACCCTCAACAAGATGGATGAGGCTTTCAAGTCTAGATATGTAAATCTGTGTGTGTGTGTGTGTTGTCCTCTAACCCCTGGGCTTGGGACGTTGAATAAAACCCAGTGACAGGCACTAGGAATGCATGATAAGCCTGTTTTCGCCTAGAGAAAGATACAAGTCTGAAATATATTAACTTTGAATCATGCAGGTGGATTCAAGGAATATTAAAGTATTGAGCTGTCCAGGGTATTTAGCCGAAAACTAAGGGTGCAATATCAAAACGAGTGTTAATAATGTGTTAGCTCACCCAAATGTTAAGAACTGCCCTTCTGCCTAACCTAAGTAAAGTGAACATGCCATATTGGGCACCTTTGGAGAAGACTGGAGAGGGCAGGAGAGGAAAGAAAAGAGCTGGCTCGGCTTTCAAAAGACAGTTTTGGTCCATATGGTTAAGAAGCTTTCAAAGATCTTTCCTTTAGTACAGATTTCAGGTCAGGTGTAAGGAAGATGAAGTCCTGCAAAGAAAGCAAACCCTGCTTGTGGGGAAGCAGAACGCATGTAGAACAAAGTCAGGCCTCATCCCACACGATCTGCATTACGAGACTGTGGGATGCTGAGGAGGTGGTGGCAGAGCCCGACTGCACTATTTCAGACTGCAGACAAGGCAAGACATTTCTACAATGCTCCCCAATAAACTTGTGCAACAGGCAAAGGGCTCAATCAGACTAGCTTTCCCTTATGTGTTAATTTTTCTATTTGCATTGACTTTGCTTTTCTCCACACGCCCTGGGGAATATTCATATTGGCATCTCTCACTTGCAGTCTGAAATGGTACCACCTCAGAATGGTGCGTAAGAAGAGACAGCCACAGTTAATTCCAAAAAGGAGGAGAGACAAAATTGGGGGGCGGGGGGACAGAGAAAAAGAGAACAGAACAGACTGATCTGAGCTCTGAAATTCAAAAGCAGCAGCAGTCCTGAAGCTCAGTGTCCCTGGGTGATGCATTTTTAAGTGGATTGAACATTTTCTAAAATGAGACTAAACAAACAATAGCAGAGAATTAGAGAATATAAGTTGCTGAGATACCTAAGGAAGCCTCATGATGCCCCCACATTCACACACAAACACACACACAATTTCCATTCATAATTTTTTTTTCTACCGCAGAGAGGGAAACCGTTCCAGAATATCCATCACAAAGTTATCAATGAAGGGAGATGTAAGGGAAACCCCAAACAAAATAAACATTATCTTTAAAAAGAACACGTGCAAATCATTTCACGGGTTAACATACAAGGAAACAGATGTGATTAGTTATTTGACAACCATTCAGCAATACTAATTAATCAACCACGCAGTGCTCCAATTTTGTAAAGCACTGCACACTGGTTAGAGCAGATCAGACTTACTGACCCCATTTTAGCAAGGTAGAACAGAGGCAATCAAATTTGTGCTAGGAAGCCACATGGCTGTAGCTACAGATAGAAGACTTGGTGCCTCAGCTCCAAAACGCTGTGTTTTGTCTGCTGAGCCAGTCAGCATAGATCTGTTTCCTACATCACATAGCAGCAAACTGAAGCTTGCCACCCAGTGAACACTCAAAAGGGAGCCACAGCCAATCTCAGTCCCCTGATAAGTATGCCTGTACCTGCAGCATTTATCCTAGAAATGTTTTTTTAAGTACTCTTAGATGCATACCTAGAATGCATGTGTAAAGTGGCCTTAGTTTTCTTTTTTAAGAGGTGCTTGTAAAAATGTAAAAAGCAATGCATATTCGAACAACAGAAATCTAAACTTTGCTTGACTATTTATTTGCTTAGACTTCATTCAAATGCGACAGTGAGAGCATACATGAGTTTCTGTTTTCCATGTTCATGCACAAGTAAAAAAAAATGGCAGTAACTGATCATAAATAGTGCAGGGGAATGATTAAATTTAAACAAAACTAGTGTGCACTTTAATTTGAGATAATTCAAGTAACGCCTGGTTTTATAACAAAACCAACATTTTGGCCCTCTCCTATACAAGAACATCTTAACTATAAAGCCACTGACACTCAGAAGATGAAACAGATGTGCAGGGAACATTTTTTTCCCTTTTTAAAAAAATCCCTTCCATGCAACATCAGCCATTTTCAAGGTTAGCTCTTGAGACAGGGGCAGTTGGGATATACTGGAAATCTTAGTTGCTATCAAGTGGATGATCAACAGCCGCCTTCAAGCGATGTTTGTAGCTCAACTGTATGGAAGTGTGGTGGCTTCTGTGGCAAATTTAAATTCTCTTTGAAAAATGCTCATTGTTTTTTTTTGGCTGGTATCGCTGCTTAAAATGCAGAATGTATCCATCACACTCGTTGTGATAACTCCTCAATACATTACAACACAAAGACATTTATAACATAAAACTCCACACATGCTAAATTTTTTTCTTTTTTAAAAAAGGAAACGAAATAAGACCAAAAGCTAAACTGCTTTAAATACTGCATGCTACAGTATCATCCATGTATCATCAAGATACGACACTGAAGGTGACAAAAGGCGAAGGGATTACAAAATATTCTCAGCAGGTTGGAGGCTGCCCTCTAAGTGTGGCAGGACGTCTCCCTTCCCCGTACTCTATTATCTAATGTCCATGATTCTAGTGCTGGATTGGCCATATTATTTATTCTTATCCATTCTAGTTAACAGTGCTTCCTTAACTTAGTTAAATCCATCGGTATGGTAGCTGGGGTGGGAGTCCGCTGTGAGCTGGGTCGTCTCTGAGACTGGCTGTATCACAATAGGTGTATCTGAGGTGTCTGAAAATCAAAGGAAATCGTGGTTAGACAGCTCCCTCCTAAAACTGCTGAAAGGAAGTGACGCAATGAAGACCTGGCTTGTCAAAAGCAACTTGCCAGCCCTAAGTGCTTCTAGGCAACCAGGTAAAGGTAAAGAGACCCCTGACCATTAGGTCCAGTCGGGACCGACTCTGGGGTTGCGGCGCTCATCTCGCTCTATAGGCCAAGGGAGCCGGTGTTTGTCCGCAGACATCTTCCGGGTCATGTGGCCAGCATGACTAAGCCGCTTCTGGAGAACCAGAGCAGCGCACGGAAATGCTGTTTACCTTCCCGCCGGAGTGGTACCTATTTATCTACTTGTACTTTGACGTGCTTTTGAACTGCCAGGTTGGCAGGAGCAGGGACCGAACAATGGGAGCTCACCCTGTCGCGGGGATTCGAACCACCGACCTTCTGATCGGCAAGTCCTAGGTTCTGTGGTTTAACCCACAGCGCCACCCGCGTCCCTAGGTAACCAGGTAAGGGCATCTAAATTTTTTTCCCTTCATTGCAGCTATAAATGACCAGCATAGGATTGTGGGGGAAACAGGGAAGTTTGCAAGGCCGACTTAAGATTTCTGTGCAGCCGTTAATTTTAAAAAGTTCCTCCTTCTTAGGATGCTGGTTTGCATCGTTATTTTTCCATCAGTTTCAGTTAAACAGACAGAAGGGTTGTATTTAATAAATTATTTCAACACCATATTCCTAGTTAATGGTGTCCATACAGTGAGTAATATGCAAGGTAGGGGAAATTCCTCCATAAACTGCTAACCGTGTCAACAAATGTTATCCACATTTCCTCTTAAGGCTACACCAACTAGCTTCAAAAGAAGCATACCCACTGGGTGCCTTTAGACCATCGTTCCATGAATGGGACTGCAAAGATGAAGGGCAGCACTCTCCAGCTTCTGCCATCAAGCCAGGAGTCAAGAGCTACTGGACGTTTGCACTCTCTGCCTCCTATAGCAAGGAGACCCACCAGCCTGGCCAAACCCATGGATCAGAGAAGGAACAGCTTTCAAGAAGCTTGGCTTTCCCTCTCCCTGCCAGAAAGAACCCCCGGGTGCAATTGCCACAAGCCCTGGAACTGTGGAAGTGAGAAGCAGCACACTCTGGCCCCCAACCACTGGACAGGGGACAAAGGGGATGCATGGCTGTATGTATGTTTGCAATTCGTGTACAGGTATTGTGAGCTGGCTCAAGGGCCATTCCAATGACAGGCAAGTTATAAAATCTTCTAAATGATATGATCAATGAATTTGCTCACCTCCTCACCATCTTGTACATGAGCAAACCTTGGTTTCATTCAGGGAGATACAGTGGTGACTCGCAAGACGAATGCCTCGCAAGACGGAAAACCCACTAGACGAAAGGGTTTTCCGTTTTGGAGGTGCTTCGCAAAACAAATTTCCTATGGGCTTGCTTCGCAAGACGAAAACGTCTTGCGAGTTCCTGCAGGGTTTTTTTCCTTCCCCCCCTTTTCCCAAGCCGCTAAGCCGCTTATCAGCTGATCCGCTAAGCCGCTTAACAGCTGATCGCTAAGCTGCTTATCAGCTGATCCGCTAAGCCCGCTAAGCCGCTTATCAGCTGATCCGCTAAGCTGCTAATAGCGCTAATCCGCTAAGCGGCTAATGGGCTTGCTTTGCAAGATGAAAAAACCGCAAGACAAGAGAATCGCGGAACGGATTCTTTTCGTCTTGCGAGGCACCACTGTATTTAGGAATCTCCATGAAGCCAGGCTTTCAGAAAAAAACACACATTTGCAGCACAGATATGCTTTTTAGGCACCCCCTGATAAGCTTAAGTTGAAACTACACGAAGCTTCTCCTCCTCCTCCTCTCTCTACTCAGCCCTGTGATTTTGAGACATTCCATGTGTGGCTGACCTGGAGTGCAGAAGACTTACCCCTCTCATCTGACTGTAGCTGTGCCTCCAAGTCTTCAGGGGAGACATAGTATTCCTGCTCTTCACCTTCAGGGGGTTTCGGTTTACACTTTCCACAGCAACAGTTACAGCAACAGCAGAGACAGCAACAGCAGTAGCAGCCCGTGATGAGTCCACAGAACACAAACAGCGCCTGCACAGAGGAAAAGGGAAAGTGTCTCCAACCAACAAATGCCAACTTAACTTAGATCTCATGCTTGGGATATCAGCAGCAGAAAAACAGCCTCTTGAACTTAAAAAGCTCGCACCCTCCTGACACGTAGCATAAAATCTAAAATGGGAAGGGAACCTCTCAGGCAAAGGTTTGCCTCTTCACAATCGCATTATGATGGTCTCATGAAAAACTGCCCATGTGTCGTACAATTGCAAGTTACTATGTCTTGAGGTGAAGCAAAGGCCAACCCCTCTGCTCTAGCACTCCCAAATCACTGCTGTAGTTTATGCTATTGCAGTTGATGGACTGTCCCAGCCTATGGCTTCTCATCAATTACTGTGGGTGGAATTCAACCATGTGCTCTTCCAATCATGCAGTCTGCACAAGTATTGCCAGGTGGAACAACCTCATGTTGTGTTCTGGAGCTTCTCCCAGCTCCCCAGAGCCAACTCTAGGAGCGCAGGGCATGCAGAAGGAAGAGAGGGAAGGAAGCCCATTGCAGAAGTCCTTCCACAGACCTTTGGCTGTCGGGGCTGATTAGTTGAATCCCACCCTGTATTTCCCCCAAATGCAAGCCAATACATCCAAGATAAGCCCCAACAAGCACTAAGAAGTCCAGCTATTGCATAAAATAAAATAAATAAAATATGCCTGATTTGTACAACATTACAATAAAGCTAATCATTTCAAAACTCCTAGATTAGGGAGCTGTTTCAGTTTGCCACTCAGTTATCTGCTCCATGGCGCTCAAAAGCTTCTCTCTCATGACAAAGTAGTCAGGAGAAAGCAGGAAAAGAAAGTATCCCAATGGGTGATTCATCAAAACAGGAAACCAACACATTCAGAAAGCAAGTTAAGCGACTTCAACAACTGACACCACATGACACACTGAGCTTTTGATAAAAGACCACACAACCCTTTTTGTACTGTAAACTTGAGTCAAAACAACCTTCTTTCAAACCACAAGGAACCTACAAAAGCATTCCAGGAATTTCAAGAGATAATGCTTCGGAGACTGCTGCTTGTGGAATATTTCTAAATCAGTTGCCATTTTAAGCCAGAATCCATATTTTTTAATGGCTGTACTTAAAACTTTTAACCATGACTGGACACTACAGGCCAAAATTTATGATAGTGCTATCATTAAAAGGAGAATTCTGCTTTTTTTCTCATACAGGAGGCAATGTCTCCTCTATACAGAATCATAGAATTGTAAACTAATTGTAAACTAAACAGAAATATGTCTGCTACAACAGCACATGCACATCATCTAAAAACAGGAGCAGCAACGTCTCTTGCTTCTGAAACGTTTTTACCCACACACAAATCTGAACAATAGATTATATGAGTTTCGTTCAATTAATTAATGGAGTTCTATAATAGGTTGCACCCCTAGGGCATCAGAAAGAACATTCTGAAAGTAAGAGCTGTTTGACAGTGGAACGAATTCCCTGGGAAACTGGTACTGTATAGACTCTCCTTCACTGGATGTTTTTGAGCAGAGGTTGGATGGTCAACTGTCAAGGTTTCTTTGGTTGTGATACCTACACTGCAGGGGGTTGGACAAGATGACCCTCAAGGTCCCCTCCACCTCCACAAATCGGTGGTTCAATGGTTCTCTTGAAAAACTAACATACCTGCTGGGGAGGCAGCAGAATCTCTCAAGGTTCCTAGAAACGTCATCCTGTATGGGATTATTATCGTGCTACACAAAGAACATGTTCAGAGGAGAATCTCTCTGTTGCTTACCTTTGCCCACCAGCTGGATAGCACAAAGTACGTGTTCACATTCTCCTCTCCAAACTGCTCTGCTACATACAGACCCAAGGAGCCATACTTATCATAAATATTTCGTTTTGTAGCATCAGTTAATATCGCGTGTGCATTGTTGATTTCTTTAAATTTCTCTGCAGCTTCCGGATTATCTGGGTTCTTATCGGGGTGATATTTTAATGCAAGTTTCCTGTGGAAAGAAGAAACCACAGAAGAACATGACAAGCCTTCTGGATCAGGGCAAAGGTCCGTCTAGTCTGGCGCCCTGTTCTCACAGTGGTTAACCAAACGCCTATAGGAAACACACAAGCAGTATCTGGGTACAGCAAAACTCTATAGCCCTCCTGTGGTTTCCAGCAACTGGCATTCAGAAACATACTGCTCCAGATCATGGAGGCAGAGCACAGACATCCTGGTTAGCAGCTATTAATAGCCTGATTAATAGCCTCCCTGAATTTGTCTAATCCTCTTTTAAAGCCATACAAGTTGGTGGCCATCGCTGTCCCTTGTGGGAGCAAGTTCCATAGTTTAACTATGTGCTGTGCGAAGAAGTACTTTGTTTTGTATGTCCTGAATCTTCCAAAATCCCGTTTCACTGGGTATCAATAAATTCTAGTGTTATGAGGCAGGAAGTGGGGGGGGGACCTCTATCCACTTTCTCCATGCTGTAATTTTATAAACTTCTAACATGTTGCTAACAAAGGTCCGTATAGTTAAAGCCATGGTTTTCCCAGTAGTGTTGTATGGAAGTGAGAGCTGGACCATAAAGAAGGCTGATGGCCGAAGAATTGATGCTTTTGAATTCTGGTGCTGGAGGAGACTCTTGAGAGTCCCATGGACTGCAAGAAGATCAAACCTCTCCATTCTGAAGGAAATCAGCCCTGAGTGTTCACTGGAAGGACAGATCGTGAAGCTGAGGCTCCAATACTTTGGCCACCTCATGAGAAGAGAAGACTCCCTGGAAAAGACCCTGATGCTGGGAAAGATGGAGGGCACAAGGAGAAGGGGACGACAGAGGACGAGATGGTTGGACAGTGTTCTCGAAGCTACAAACATGAGTCTGACCAAACTGCGGGAGGCAGTGGAAGACAGGGGTGCTCTGGTCCATGGGGTCACGAAGAGTTGGACACGACTAAACAACAACAACATGTTGCCCCTTACTCACTGTTTCTCTAAACTGAAAAGGAGGAGGACTCAAACAAGTTGCATGCTCTGCATCCATCAAGGCATCTCAGAGTTGGGATACTGAGGTTCAGCAAACCTTCACTTGTCATGGTATAGAGATAGTTGACCTGGAAGCCCCATTTGTAAGAGAAGTGGGGGAGGACAGTGCTGTTGGCTCCCTGCCTTTATTCCACAAGGTGCCTTGAAGCCCCACCTCCTTTGGGGGCCTCTTCACACTTCTGGGTGTACCTTGTTTTCCTTTTTAAAAAAAGTAAGGTATGAACGTGTCCAACGCGAGTCTCATGTGGGTGCTCTTGCTGGGGGCAGAATCTGAGAACTGAGTGCGGCAACTCCCAGGCTGCACTTGGTGGCAGACCTGGGTCTACTTTGTGCCACTTGCAAAGCCCGGCTCTGGGTTTGGGAGGGAACTTATGGTGTTTTTACCAGGTATCCCACAGCCATGAACTCAAACAGGTTGAAAACCTCTGCCCTTGGCCATTTTGGTTGCCTTTCTTTGAACCTTTTCCAACACTACAAAATTATTTTTGAGGTGAGGCAACCAGAACTATACACAGTATCCCAAGCGTAGCCGCACCATATATTTGCATAATGGCATCAGTTTTATTTTCAATTCCTTTTCTAATGTTCCCTAGAATGGAATTTACCTTTTTCTTAGCTGCCGCACAATATGAAATGCAGGCTTGTTTCTGTTTGGGAAAGCTGTGGTATGCAAGGTAAAGCGCACATGCGTGCACACACACACACAAGTACAATTCTATACATGTTTACCCAAGTCCTACTGAATTCAATGGGACTTACTCCCAAACATGTATAGGTCTACAACCCAAATCTACCCTACCCCTCCTAATATTTTCTGCAGCAGTTTCCGACACTGCCAAATTTTTACAGCGTACAGCTGCTCGAGTTAAAAAAAGGAAAATTGTTTGTGCCCACATTTAGTCCGTAATGGCAGAAAGCATCCAACATAGTCAATGTAGGGCTGGTTTATATGAAGAGCAAAAGCCCATTAGAAAACGACAAGTAGCTGCTACTCTGCAGAGACTGTCAATTTCTGCACATAAATATCCTGCAAAGAGCGCCTTGTCTCAAAAGTCACATGAGAGAGATACAACTTCAAGCAGATGTTTGCCCAAAGCAGTTGCCGGTTGACTCTTCCACATCAAGAGGAACAAAAGACTAATATTTCCAGACAGATGCACAGCTACCCATTTACGGCGAGGAATAATATAATTTTTTTCACAAAAAAAAAGGGAAGATTCACTATGGTGCAGAACATAGGAAGATGCATTATATTGATGTTACAATGAAAGCTAACATACATTTCCACAAATTTCTGTTCACAAAAGAATACCTGCAGCCAGAATCTCCACAAATCTCCTATTGTTTGCTTCTGTTCTGAGAAATAGTGGGAATACAATTAAAGTTTATTATTTGGAACCCAGCGTTTCCGCCCTGAGTTAGTGCAAACTCAGGAAAGTAGCTTGCTCACTAAATCACTTATCATTGTGAAAAGGTTTACTGCTGACCCCTAGTGTCTAATTCAGTTCATTGCAGTTTATCACTAGTATGCCCCCTGAACTCACCTCTGTGCTCATCCTCGCTTCCCTTTCTTTGTCCTGAGATTTCTTGTTCTTCTCATGATTTCTAGACACGGGTCCAAGAGATTTTCCTTTTGGCCTGCTGCTTTCCTCAGGAAAAAAACACTGTTTACTGCTGAATTGAAACATATGTCAATCTGCAGAAAACTCAATTGACGTTTGTTCCAATTCAGCAGTAAACTGTGGCTTTCCTGGGAAAAGCAGAGTAAAGAAGAACAAAACCTCTCAGACGCATGCCCAGAAGACTACTGCTGGTTCACCAGCACATCTATTTAGCCTATGAACTTTTATCTTCCACTGTTCCCAAAAATTTTGAAGCAAGAGCATAAAAAGTTTTGGGTTTTTTTATTTTAAAAAATGTGATTAAAAGTTTGGTGCGAAAAGCAGACTGATCTCTACAGCTAAGATTTATTCCCAAGACAAGACTCATCACTGAGTCACTGGACCTTCCTTTTTCCATTGCTGCCCAGTAAAATAGCTGTGATGAAGACACAACTTTATAAAAGCAGCATTATGTGGACTGTCAAGAAAACTGTAGATCATGATTCAAGCCGTATTATGTTCCAAACTTTAGGAGAGATTTTATTACTCAGTGGTATGACCTATGACTGAAAGAGGTGAAGTTCTGAAAATATAACTGAACCAATCTCTGGTTCTACTTATCTCAAAAATCATCACAAGATACAGCTAGAGCAAATAGTGTACTGTGTAAAAGGAGTATATAAATTTGTCTCATTTCTTCTACTCAACTACTTTGAACAAGGGTTAGATTCCTATTACCATGTTCTGTGGGTTTTTTCCAGATAGAAACCGTAGTTATCTATGTTTCAGATAACTCAAACAGAGTACGAGTAAATAGAATCACCTCGGAACGATAATCATGAGGCAAGCTGGCTGTGTTAGAATGTATGCTATGTTCAGAGCAAGCTCTTGGCCTCCTTACCTGTATGACTTTTTAATATCATCTGAGGTGGCGTTCTTGTCCAGTCCTAGAACATGGTACAATGATTCCCCAGACGTAGACAATGAGCGTTGCCTCTGGTCTCCCATCTTGAGCTAACCTGGGGAGAAAAGAGTTTAGGACAAAAATCATAATTGGGCCGAGTGCTGGATTTCACACTAGGTGGTGTACCAGGGTTCATAGCCCTGCTCAGTCATGAAACTCATTTGGTGTCCTTGGGAAAATCACCATCTCCCAGCCTGACCAAACTCACAAGAGTGTTGAGAGTAACAGTCAGGAAAACCCATATATGCCACTCTAAGCTTCCAGAAGGAACGGCGTGATACAAAGAAGATAAAATTGGTTTATAATCTCAAGCTTCTTCCAACCCCCTTTTGTAGAGGGTAACTTTAGAAAAACACCTAACATCTCTGAAGATATGACTATGCCCAGTTCGCACGTAACACTACGCCAAACTGTGGCTAAGCATTGCCAAGCAAACACGCCGGAACTTAAGAACAAAAATCACTACCCACGGTTTTGATGCTGTTGCTCTACACAGAGCTAAGTGATGGTTTGGTTAAGCATTTTGTCTGAACCGGACTTGTGGTTTTTCTGCCCCAAACAAACCATGAGTGGCAAGCCAGACTTTTAGAAGACATCTGAAGGCAGCCCTGTTTAGGGAAGCTTTTAATGTTTAATAGACTATTGTATTTAAATATTCTGCTGAAAGCCACCCAGAGTGGCTGGGGAAACCCAGCCAGATGGGTGGGGTATAAATAATATATTATTATTATTATTATTATTATTATTATTATTATTATTAGCCAAGAGCAAACTTTACTTTCACCTCATGGCTTGTCTGAAGTGAGGCAACCCACGAAAGCAGGTTAGGACGCAGCACTAAGCCAAACCATGACTTAATTCCTAGTTGCACAGCAGCAGCAGAAATGGGGGAGCAGCAAAGGAGCACCAATTTTTGCTCTGAGTACCGAAGAGGCTTGCTTGTTCATGCTTAGCCACAGTGTGTGAACCAGTCTACTATTTCTTTGACCCCTGCACTACTTGAGGAGCAAAAAATCCCATATCACAGTTCGTAATTGCTGTTTATGTATAGCTATTAACCTCCCGTCAAAACTGTATAGTGGTGCCTCGCAAGACGAAAAGAATCCGTTCCGCGAGTCTCTTCGTCTTGCGGTTTTTTCGTCTTGCGAAGCAAGCCCATTAGCAGCTTAGCGCTATCAGCGGCTTAGCGGATCAGCTGATAAGCGGCTTAGCGGATCAGCTGATAAGCGGCTTAGCGGATCAGCTGATAAGCGGCTTAGCGATCAGCTGTTAAGCGGCTTAGCGGATCAGCGGATCAGCTGATAAGCGGCTTAGCGGCTTGGGAAAAGGGGGGGGAGGGGAAAAAAAACCTGCAGGAACTCGCAAGACATTTTCGTCTTGCGAAGCAAGCCCATAGGAAATTCGTTTTGCGAAGCACCTCCAAAACGGAAAACCCTTTCGTCTAGCGGGTTTTCCGTCTTGCGAGGCATTCGTCTTGCGGGGCACCACTGTACACAACAAAGGGGTCACAGAAAACTCTCGCAAAACATAAGCAATGTGTTTTTGGTAACCTTAAAAATGCCCGTTAGAATCCAAGCAACACTTCGTAGTCTAGCTTTAGATGCAGATCAATGCCAAATGGGGTCTGGGGAGCTAATAAGGATCCAGTTACCATAATGGGTCCACCTAGTACAGTATGCTGCCCAGAAAAGCTCACAAAAATCTTATGATGACTATATCTAAGCATTACTGATATTTCCCTGCAATGGGTAATCAAGAGATATTATTCCTGAACATGGAGGGTATGACCATCATGCTTAATAATCAAAACATGTTTTTTTTTTTCCTTTTTATGGTAATGATCACAATATCATCCTATGGTAGTGAATTCCTTTAGTTAAGTTACATGTTCCGTGAAGTATTCACTTCATTGTCTTAGACCTGCTGCTTCTCCATTCCAGTCGATGCACTCCAGGCGTTTACATTTTGAGAATCCATTTCTGTCCATACTTCTCATGGTCTCAAACATTTCTCTTCTCTCGAAGGCTTAGAGCCATAGTGTCTCAACCAACCTATATTCATGGAACAAACCCGCCCACCCCCATCACTTAATTCGCTCCTTTCAGCACCTTCTTCCTCTCAGCCATGATCAGTGCAAAGAATGGGGGGGGGGAAATCAGTCCTTTATTTTCCCATGGGAAACTTTCCATTTTATAAGTTCATCAGTAACTATGGATGGCGTTCAACCACAAATATTAGGCAAGCTTCATCAGTAACTATGGATGGCGTTGAACCACAAATTATAGGCAAGCTTGGCAGTTTTACTAAAAACAAGTAAATAGAGCATCAGAAATTGTTCCAATGCAAATTACACCTTAGTGTGCAGAGGAATATTTCCCAGAAAATCCATGTCACTGGCCATATAATAACGATTAATTATTTCAATGTGGGATAGCCAGTATTATGTGCAATGTTCTAAAGATGGGCATAATTATAATCGTATATAATGGCAAAGAGCAATTAAGAAAAGGAAATGCTCGATGCTTTTGAAGGGTACTTTTTCTTTCAAAACAGCACTGAGGGCCTGACTTAATTCTGCCAGACTATAGCACCGGTCACATGGCACCCAGATAAAGAATTCCAGTTCACAGAATATGTTGGAGCCAGATGGCAAATCGGAAACCAGGTAGAAGCTGCTACATGGGCAATTACTTTAAAACCTAAAATAAAAATCTTTACTTTAGAGTGAGGCAAGTAAGTTTCTGTTGAGACACAGTGAGAAACACGTGAAGCCTTGCTGCCATCTGGTAAGGCAATAACTAGAATATATTTTAAGCACCACTTTCAGGAGTCTGTATTATATGACAGCCAGAAGAGATGTCAAAATTTTAAGCACGCAGGGTCCAAATGGTTAAGGGGCAACAAAACCCTCAAACGTTGTTCATGTTGTCAGGTAAGAGAAGAAGCCTCAGACGGCTCAAGGCTCCAAAACTCACAGCAGACCAAGAAGTCTGTCATGCATGTTCATAGAGTCTGAAAAGCAAACTCAAATTCTGCAGAACCCATCTGAAATTTCGAGCTGTCCCGTTTGGCTGGGACGCATTCCACGGGTTTAGAAGTGTAATACGGGACTGTCACCTGACTGCACAATAGAGATAATTCTTCTTACAACCTCAAGTTTTGACAACATCCTCCTGCCATCCACAACGCAACACTCATAAGTTCTTACACCTTCCATGACAATAAACCTGAGGACAGAAGCCAGATATAACAATTTCTACAGATTCTATAGTAGACTCCTTTAGCACTTCACAGATAAATTAACCTCTTTCCTGACCTCTTTGCTATCCAGTTACAAGACTAGCTGTTGATACTGAGCTGGATCTTCATGCTGCCGCGCCAGATGCACTTAGACACAATGCTCGCCAAAGGTTAGCATTGTCTTTCTCAACCTGATGCTCTCCAGATGTTTTAGACTACAATTCTCAAAAGGCCTCACCGGCGTGACTGTGTGCTAGCTGTGCTTGATGATGATGATTTTATTTGTAACCCGCCCATCTCACTGGGTTGCCTTTGTCTAAACTTCAGGTAAGTTCATTTTAATTTTGTCTGCCCTTTTGGTGTGGATTCTCTGTCCCCACCCCATATTTAATTTTATTATATTACGGTTTCTGGTATTTTATCGTTGATCACGGGAGGGCGGGGCTTTTCAGGGCCAAGAAGTGAACCATAAACTCTCATTCTCTCATATATATATATATATATATATATATATATATATATATATATTTGCTTTCGTAGATTTTCACGGGTACAGGAATGCAGGTTTTGGTGTCCTCGGGTGTCTTCCCGTGTAAAAGTTGGGGTGTCTAGGCGACGTTTCGACGAGGTCTCACTCGTCATCTTCAGGCTGGTGCTTTCGGCTTCTTGTTACTGGAACAGAGCAGGATCTCAGTGTTTGAGTTCCTATAAATACTGTTGAGGGGGTGTGGTGTATAGCCTCCAATGTTCTGGGCAGAGAGGAAGTTCCCAGGCACACTAGCCTGGGAACTTCCTCTCTGCCCAGAACATTGGAGGCTATACACCACACCCCCTCAACAGTATTTATAGGAACTCAAACACTGAGATCCTGCTCTGTTCCAGTAACAAGAAGCCGAAAGCACCAGCCTGAAGATGACGAGTGAGACCTCGTCGAAACGTCGCCTAGACACCCCAACTTTTACACGGGAAGACACCCGAGGACACCAAAACCTGCATATATATATATATATATATATATATATATATATATAATGCATATCAGGGGTTAGCAAGGTTTACCTTGCCTGGGCAGGTTCACTCCAGCAGAGATCCCTCAGTGGGCTGGATCGCATGTGTGCATGCGATTTCCGGCATCTGCATCTGCACAGATGCGATTTTGGTGCCACGAAAGTAAGTCCCCGCATTGGTTTAGTGCAGGGCACGGGGACTTGCCGAGCAGGCGGCTCGGTTTAGGGGCGGCTCGTGGTCCAGTTAAACGACCCCCATGGGCCACTTGTTGCCCACGGGCCTTAGGTTGCTGACCCAATGTATATCATATATATCATGTATGTATGTGTGTGTGTATACACACACACACACACACACACACATCTCACCCATATGCCTCCTAAAGTGGCAATAAGACCAACAATTGTACCTCTGCAATGGATATTTTTGTTACAGGCCCCAAATTCTTGGAAACAGTCTAGCATATATAAAAACTTTTTTTCATTGTTCTTTTGGGCTGCTGAAATGCTGCAAAGTTCCACTTATTATTTCTATACCACCCTTCATTCATAGATCTCAGGGTGGTTTGCAGCATAAAAATACAAGATAAAAACACAAAACTCATAATAAAAACAAGAACAAAACAATAACCCCCACCCCCTCTGATGCTTTTACCTTCTGAGTATGAGCTTTTAAATCATTTATGATCAGGAATCTTTGCAGATTTGGGAAATGCTATGTTAAAACATTCCAATGTATGATGGAAATGCAAAATGATTCTCGGCTACCTTTTTTTCTACCCACATAACTGGTGGTACATAAAAGAAA